AAGTATGATATGTATGAGTGTCTCCCTCTCATTTTACAGCAACTCTATGAGAAGACTGAATTAAGCAGCACAGGTCCCAAATCCCTAATTCTTATGGAAACAACAATTGTAGTAGATGAATTGTAGTTCCACCTGACTAAGTCTCAGAAGTTATCCTGGCTCCACTTGCCACTGCTGTTCCTAATCTGGTGCAGGCATAGGATATTGTCATAAATCTACATAGGAATAAAGGCAAAGTATTCCTCAGGCTGAGCTTCACTCCTGGTTCCTGTAGTTTTTTTTCCAGACAGAAGTGGTTTGCATTTTTCCTGGAAGTATTGTTGATTTCCAAGTCTATCCTAATGTTTTCTTGTTCTAACCTTGCTTAACTTTCAAGATCAGCCAGGGTTAGATAGGTGCTGTGACCTGAGCTGGACCACAGAATATGCCTCACACACATATCAAAACAAGATAATGAGGATACCCTCTTCCCAAATCCTTCTTCCACCCTTCCTAGAACCAAACTCAATGCTAACACTAATGTATTATTAAGAAATGTGGTTCTGAAATAAAAACTAAAGCAGTGTAAGAGCAAGAAATCCATACAGAGACCATAATGGTTTAACTCTAACACTGCATATGCATAGAGAGAGCACCAGGAACAAAAGGGAGGAGCCAGAAAGACTGTAGTCCTCCTTCCTACATGCAGCTATCTCTATAAAAATTGACCCCATAATTATCTTAAAAAAAAAAAAAATCCTGGCAAGGTTCCTACTGAACCTTAACATCTTTGTCACATTTTCAGCATGAATAAGCCTTTTTTTTTTCTTACAGGAACATAATCTGCCCCCAGCAAATATGTGGCATGATGGCCACTTTGCTTCCCTCATTCAGCTGGGCAGCAGCACCAATTTGACCTCGGATTGGACCTGGTTAGTGCTTCGATAAGAAACAACCAAGAAGGCCAGAAGTTTAAAACAAACAAATGAAACAAAAACAAACAAAAGCCCTGGAAGAAGGCAGCGATGAACTGCCTCCATATTATAGCCAAGAAAACCACGAGTTCAGGAGTCAAACAGACTTCAACTCTTTTCTCTAAGATGTGAATCACACAGAAGGACTTCGGGACATGTTCCCAATCTCTCCAGCGTTGCTGAAAAGAATTTTGCACCTGATTCATGAACTCATTTTACAAGGGACAGGCTTGAAAAAGAGAAAATGCACGGGTGATCTGGGGAGAGAAAACGTGCAACGCTGGTGAGTGAAGTCTCAAAGGCGAGGCAACTCTTTGTCCTTCCAGCAGAAATACATCCCGGACAGACCACCTAACGCCCTGGCAATTCCCGCCTGGGCCCTCCAGAAGTGTGGACGCACAACTCCCATCACCCCCAGCCAACAGGAGCTGATTGGTTGGAGATCTGGGGAGCACAGCCTCCCGTATCTGGTGGATGCCAGAACTGTGTCCTTTTCAAAGTCCCCCAGTGTTTAAGACGTGTGGCGTGCCGGCTTGGGAATTCTGGGAGTTGAAGTCCACACTTCCTAACGTGGCCAAGTTTGAGACTCAGATACTGCGCCAGTTCCCAGTCCGGTTGGAAGCGATGGGATTTATAGTCCGTGGCACCCGGGGGACCTCCCGCAGAGCTTTCGCAGCATTCCCGCATGGCCCTTTCGGAAAAACACAAGATCGCAGGAAGACAGGCGTTTCCGGCCGAGAACTACCCTGGAGGGACCCGCGCGGCCGCACGCGTCCACCTTCCCCAACTTCCGCCCGTTCTCGAAGCCGACTTCCTGCCCCGGCTCGGCGAGGGGAAGAAGGGCAGCGCCTCCTGCCGGAAGTTCGCCCCCTCCCCGCTGAGAGCTGGGCGGGGCAAGCGGAACCGGCGCCGCTCATTGCTCCGTGGCTGTGCAGCTCAGCCGCCGGGCGCGCGGGGCGGCGCTCCCTTGGCTGGCTGCCCGGAATTGCCCTGCCTCGCCGACGTCCCCCGAGCCCCGGAGGCGGCAGAGCTCGAGAGGAGCCCCCTGCCTGCCCTCCCGCCTCCTCCGGAGCTGCCCCCGAAGGGATTCGGCACTGTCCGGGGCTCCTTCGGGTTCCAGGTAAGGGGCAGGAAAAGAGGAGGCCTTAAGTGGGGGTGGCACGGATCCCCCCCACCCATGCGTTGCGTTGCATTGACTGCTCACCCTGCTCGGGGTTCACTGGGACCTGTTTGGAGGGGGTTGGTCCTCTCGTTTGATGGCTGCGGCGGCCGCCCTGTGTGGTAGATCGACCCCGAAGTCCCTGTCTGAAAGCCGTCTCCTGAGCGCTTCTGACAAAACCAGGGTCGTCATGGCACAAGTGCTGCCCTTTGTGTGTGTGTGTGACCTCACAGTGCACTTACAGAAGTGGGGGGGGGGGCTTGCATTGCGTCCCTGCAACGTTGCTTTCATTGTTTCACACACACGTACGCTCCCTCCTTCTCAGGTGCCTCTGGCTATGGGATCGGGAGTCCCCAGGAGCGCTAAACAGCCCTGCTTTCCTATTGTAAAGACTCAGCGAGTAAAAAAATGACCACAGATGTCAAATGCCTGAATAGGAATATTTGCAGACTTGTACCTCCCGTGGTAATCTGGAGCAATAGAGCAACGACAGGGAGTCCAGATGTTCAACTCCAACTCCAACTCCCAGCAGTCCTCAGAATTGCTCATGCTGCCGTTATGATTGATTTGTTGATATTCTATGTATGTTATTGCTGTGAGCTGCTTAAAGTAGCATTTAAAAAGAAAATCACTTGAGATAAACCAGTCTATAATCCCAGAGTTCTTTTTATTCTCCCCTTTATATGGTTGATAGTGTGGTCCTTCTCAGAAATATCTTTCTGTCTCTAGCTGCTGCTTTTCTGGGAAAGTGGTTAAACCTAAAAAGTAGCTAAATTTGCCTACTGTTTCACAGTTTATTCCAAGTTATCATTGTACCAATTTAGCAGGTTCCTGGTGGTTATTGAGGCAAGATAATTTACATGTGTGTGGGGGGGAGGGGGTATGCATGTCATTATCCAGAATTGCTTGGACAGAAATGGTTCACTGGAATGAACTGCTAATGTAACTTCATTGTCATTGTTTGTATAGAATTGGCCATCCAGAAAATGGGGAATTAATGGGAAATGACTTTTTATAGGAAAAATCAACCTGTAAGGGCACAAAAATGGATCCATGACTCTGTAATAATAGTCTCATGGTAGAAAATCTGTTAGGCCCAAATCTTATGTGTGACTTTATTTTTCTAGACTACGAACCGCTTCACTGTCCACCTGATGGAGAATGTGACTAGTGCCCTACCTGCTGGAGCAGTAGCTGCTGTGCTAAAACCCAGTGCTGAACTTCCTGAAGGGAGCCTAACTGTACATGGCTATGACTTTGACAATGGATTAAACTATCATGCCTTGCTTCAGTCTTATCTCACTACTGGTTTCCAGGCTACTAGTTTCGGACAGGCTGTGAATGAGATCAATCGTATGGTGAGTGGCCAGAATGATTCCTGATGGGGAAAAGGGACAGTAGATCAGATGGAAAGGAAAATTGTGGATTTCATCCCTTAATGTGCTTAATAATTATATCACATAACTATACCTGAACTTTGGCAAATGTAAATTCTTGTCTATACTATGTATCTTTTATTTGCTCACATTCTCACACTACCCTATTCTTGTCTATGTTAAGATACAATTGGATCATAGGAATTCAGACTCAAGTACACTCAACTTTTTGGTAATACTCTGCATGCAATATTTATTGAAAATCCACAAAATGAACGTAAAAGCCAGTTTTATTTATTTGTCCAATGTCTAGGCTGCCCAATTCCAAATATGACTCTGCAGAAGTAAGAAAGAGTATTGTTATGCTATGATGAATTTTAATTTTATTATGTCATCATTGCTGCATCGAATTGAACTGGTTAAGATCAATGATGGTCTGGACTTTGATGGGCAATCTGTAATATAATGAGGCTGAGGCACTGAAGAAGATGCACTTTGGATGGGATCATCTCAAAGTGGTGGCTGCCTCAAGGACCCTTTTTATGCTGGTAGCTTCTGCTTTGACTTCTTGTCTACCTCTGATTGGTTCAAGCCTTGAACAAGGTCATTGTTTTCATGAGCTTGATCACACACTGCAGGTCTGTATGCTGATCTTTTACCAGATGTTCAATAACAGTCTCCATTGCAAAGGCATCTCTTTGTGAAGCATAGCTTGTAAGGATATTGATTGGTTCAAGCCTTGGTTCAAGCCTAACTAAAAGCTACATGCAGTTGTGGTTCTTTTATCTTTGCCAGCTGACTTAGTCTCAAGAAAACCTCTCTCCCTCACATATTTTCTTCTGTGTTCAGATCCTGCTTTGACTGCTACAGACTTCAAAGCCGCAAACATTTTCTTATTTTCTAGACATATTAAAACTAAGCTATTTTTACCCATAAGCTAAGCCACATTATCTTTGGCACTTTTTTATTTTAAACTTTCTTAGCAACAGGATTCATTTAGATTTAGACTTTTGGCAAGCAAAGTATGATATAATTCTGAGGAAGTAAGATGTTCATCACTATTCTGTTAGAAATCAGGAAGGTATTCTCCCATTAGCTATTGAATATTCAATAGTTGCAAATTACATTTTTTTCTTCATGTCATCTTTCATTTTAGATTATCTGATTTGGAGATAAACAAAACATTTTTAATCAAATATACTTGTTCCCTGCTACTTTGTCCCATTTATTCTACATTATAAGTAGCCTAAAAGATCAACCAGAAGATTTGTTTTTGTAAACAAGTTCTGTTTATTTTGTTTGGCCTTCTTTATATTTCATACTATAGCTCTGAAATACAGTGTTGCATCTGGGTTGAATTTTATTCAAATAATTGGGCTCTCCATTGCAGATAGAAGCAAAACTGACACCATTAGGTGAGGATGAAGGAAACCACACTGACTTGAATCCCTGTTCTCGCCGCCTGACTGGTTGTACAATTTTCCTGGGCTTCACTTCCAACCTCATCAGCTCAGGTGTTCGTGAGACAATCCGTTATCTGGTGCAACATAATATGGTATGGCCTGACTCAGAAGTATGTTTCTGCCTTTGATTTCTAAGGATTTTTTTTTTTTGGTGAGAGCTTCTGTGGGTGGAAAAGGAAGAGGGTGTTGCAGGCAAAAAGAATTATGGGTATTTTACAGTGTTATGGCACACATTTCTCTAGCATTTGGATATGGTCACTGATTGAGCACACAAGATCTAGAAAGAACTTTAAGGGAAATACTTTCTCAGTCACTCTGACTTGTGGAAAAGAGATAATCAGCCATTGATGCTGTATGATTGATGACAAAACTGAACCAAATTAATCCTTCACAGAGCTTTAATTTCAAGGATGCTAATGGCTAACACACTTGAATTGTTTGTTGAATGCTATTATACACACACACACACACACACACATACATACATACATATATACATCTTTTTTCTTATAGGTAGATGTTTTAGTGACCACAGCAGGTGGTGTGGAGGAAGATCTGATCAAATGCTTGGCACCCACCTACATTGGAGACTTTAGCTTGAAAGGGAAAGAATTACGGCAGAATGGAATTAACAGGTACTTCCTTTGATAGTGTTGAAGGATGGTCTGACCCCAACAGGAATCCATATCTTTTATTATTTTTGTGACTGAGGAGATGTATCAGTTTCAGGTTTTTGCCTATATAATGATCCAAACTATCTCACATTTAGTAGTGAGAAGGTAATTCGGCTGTATGAATTGTGGTGTGTAGAAAAACAATGCAACATCAAGGTCCCTAGCTATCTCCTTCTCCCCTTCTCCAGGATTGGGAATCTCTTGGTGCCCAATGACAATTACTGCAAGTTTGAGGACTGGCTAATGCCAATTCTGGATCAGATGGTGACAGAACAGGACACCGAGGTGAGAGCTGGAATGTTAAGGGTGGAAAGTCTAGGTTCTTGTTGTTGTTTTTCTGTATGGTAATTGCAAAATGTGTGTGCTAATTTTGAATCTTTGGGTTCTGCCTTCATCTCCCAAGACAGAAAAATATAATATTCTAAGGGGCGGAGGGTAATACAACATTGAAGCCAAGTCCTAATAAGATTAAATCCTAACTCTGATCCAAAGCTATATTTTTGTTCAGTAGGTTCAGTTATTTTTATCTTTGAAACTTCTCACATTAAGACAGCATAGCCCCATCCTTATGCTTAATTTTTTTTCCCATACCCATCTGTGGAGAACAAACCATTGTCTAGGCTTACTTTGATCCTTCCTGCCTTTCAGGGTATGAAATGGACTCCGTCAAAGCTCATTGCTCGGCTTGGCAAGGAAATCAACAATCCAGAATCAGTCTATTATTGGGCACAAAAGGTAGGCTGAGAAAGGAATTTATATCTAATTCATTATCTTACTACTTTAGGAATAAGTGTTCTTCTTTCTTTGTTGCTTCATAATGGGATGTCTTTTTCCCCCCCCCTAATCTCTGATAATCTTAGGACATAATCTTGTATTCATATGATCTTGCATAGGTTTTATTTTGGTGATACTGCTGTCCCATTCGCTTCCCAGTGGATAGCTTGTTCTTTCCCCCACCATTAGATTGTTCTTTAAAATTGGGCTCCAAGCAAAGAAAAATAAATATTTAATATATAAACATGAATAAATGCATGTACCCTCTGCAGCTTCTGTTAACCGTGCTACTTATATTTTCTCAACAGAATAACATTCCTGTACTGAGCCCAGCGCTAACGGATGGATCCCTGGGAGATATGATTTTCTTCCATTCCTATAAGAAACCAGGTCTTGTGCTGGACATCGTAGAAGGTGAATCAGGATATTTGCAACCAATCTGACTCCACAATAATCTTCTGTAATCTGCTTGCAACTTCTGCTTTAGGACGAAAAGGCAGCTAGTGGGTTATGAGCTGATGCTATATGCTTTTTTTTTTAATTATAAAAAAATTATTGAACTGTGATTAACAAACATCAAACTAAATTAACATTAATCCAAGATGCACAGAGGAAAAAAATATTGAAAATTCAAAAAAAAATCTAAAAAGTAAATAAAGAGGCAGGTGCTATACATGTACAAATTTACCTTATGCAATATGTGAAGTATTACCATATTATGCTCTATTGCTATTGAGGCAAACCATAACACTCATCCAAACTTAATAGAATTGTGACCCCTTCCTCTGATATCTCATTTTAACTTTGTGATTTTTTTTTCTAATGTGGCAATTGAAGAGGCCTTGCTAATCCACATCTCAATTGTTATTTTATCTAGAGTTTTCCAATGTTGGGCAATTATCATTTTAGCTGCTAAAATAAAACAGATAATAAGTTCCTTATTTTCAGGCTTGATGTTATGTCCTGTAAATAAGTGCAGTAAGCCTATCTCTGGGGAGCGTTCCATTCTTTGTTTAGTAATCTAGTAGTATCTCCCCAAAACATTTGCACCAAAAGGGTGTAATCGCATGATCACCACAAATGGAAGAATGACCCCCCTCCCCTTTTTGTTTTTTCTTAACAACCTCTCCAACATTTGGAAGAATGATTTTGATATCTATGTGCCAATCTGGCTGGAGTTAAATGCCAGTGATGCATAATCTTCTACTGCAGTTCTTGTACTGAAGCTGAGGCTAGCTGATGCTATATACTGAAAGCTAGCAACTGTGGGTTTATTGTTCAGACGTGTAATGTATCTGCAGCACTTCCCTCATAACCTTTATTGTTATCTCTCTTATAGACCTGAGACTAATTAACACCCAGTCCATCTTTGCTCGGAAGACAGGAATGATCATCTTGGGTGGAGGCCTTGTTAAGCACCACATTGCCAATGCAAATCTGATGGTGAGGGAGATTGGTGTGTAGTAGGCACACGGGCAGGATTGATTTGGAAGGGAGAGACTATGGTGTGAGATGAACATTTGTTTAAGCAAAATGAATATGTAGATATGGTGTCATGTTACTTAGTATCCCACACTTCCTCTTATTTTAACAAAATGCTTTGCAGCCATGAAACAAAATATAGATATTTAAAGGCAATATAGTAATCTATTACACCAGATGAGAATGCAGAAGGTAAGCATTCATATATTGGGTAGTCCCACAGAGAAGCATAGTGGCTGAATGTATAGCTCTAAATGGTTCAACTGACAGGACATTGCCACAAAACTGGAGTTTCCAGTTGTGGTCCTGGTAATTCTTGATAATTAAGAAGAGCCCATGCTATGAGTTCATGCCTTGTATGCTGAATGGTCAGCCCTTGGCCATTCTCATATACACTGTTGTATTTAGTAGGGCTTGGAAGAACTTCTATAGGGTATCTTGATGTTCTTCTGCCAAAGTGGAGAATAACTATTTGTTGAAATTGGTCTAAAGCACTTGTTCATACATATTAGTCTTGAGAATGATTAAATGTATGAGGGCTATGCTGAGCAGATCTTCAGTTGTCACTGAATCAGCTGAGCCTTGTATTGCTGAGGTCACCAGGGTTTTTTGGTTTTCCAGAGAAATGGAGCTGACTTTTCAGTATACATCAACACTGCACAGGAGTTTGATGGTTCAGATTCAGGAGCTCGGCCTGATGAGGCAGTGTCCTGGGGAAAGATCCGCATGGATGCCAAGCCTATCAAGGTATGTGCAGATCAAGAAAGGACTGAGAGATCGTGGTACTGGCATGGATAGAACATGATTTCCATGACTGCCATCATAACCAGCCTGTCAGGGAATGCATTTTAGAACAAGCAAATGAATGTTTTGGAGAAGTAGTCTCAGCTATCCTGTTCTTCTCCTACAGGTTTATGCTGATGCTTCCCTGGTTTTCCCGTTGCTAGTTGCAGAGACTTTTGCTCAAAAACCAAATGCCTTTGTTCAAGAAAAGCAAAGTGACTGAACTGGGAACTGCTGCATGAGGCACTTCATCTGTTAGGAACTACCTGCTTCCATCCCGCATAATGTTACAGTTGTCAGCATCTGCACTGACATTGCCTTGAAGATCTGTTTGGGTGAATGGAGTGAGGAGAGGCGTGAGAACCATTCTGAATGCATCTTCTTCAATCTCCATACTGGACAGAATTTGTATCCCAATGGTCTGCATATTATCCCTGAATTTGGAACCAGTCATTCTGTTAGGCATTACCACTTGCCACGGTGCATCTCGTACTGCAAAAATACAGTGTAATTGGGAAGGCTAAGACTCAGTTGTGTGCTCCAGACTTTCAGAGGATTTTTATGCAGTGCTGGAACAGCTAGAGGATTCTGGTTTGATGTGTGTATGTGGGTTTAAATGACTGAACCAGACCATACCTCTGTCCTGGCATCTCCTGTCTTCTCAATCAGTCACTGGTGTTTTATGCAGAATTGGCCAAAAGTCGTCATTTCATAACCACTGAAATTGTTAAACACATGAGTCTTTTTGCCTTTGGTAGGGTGACATTTGGTGGCCTTTGCTGAACATGAGTTAGCCACAGCCGTTGCTCAGTTTTTTGTTTTTGTTTTTTGTTTTTGTTTTTGTTTTTGCTTCTTTCTGGGGGCTTTCAGAAATGAAACAGCTTTGGTTTATAGAGTATGGGGTTGTGGGAAAAATAGGAGGAGGAAAGACTATTAGGTATGTTTGCCGCCTTGATTTATTTATAAAAA